CTACTCCTTTCCTCTATTTCCTTATGCTTTCCTCCTATCCCACTACCATGTTCAGCCTTCATTCTGGTTTCAGTAATTCCTCTCGGTTACATTGCCCTTGGTTACTCCCTACCAGTCCTCCTATCCCCTCCCTGCCAGTGGTTTTGAACCACTCGTTGTTCCCTTGTCCCTGGGTTGACCAACACCTCCTCCCTTCCCCCACCTCCCACTCTCCCATGTCCCCCTGGACCGTTGGTCCCGTTGTTTTCTTCTCACATTGCTTATCCAGCCTATCTTATCTAGGTAGACCTGCAGAGATAACAATATGCACATAAAATTGCGGATGGCTTCGACAGCACCAAACAAAGTGGCACATAAGAACATCCAGCCCATCTATTCTTTCTATGAATTTGCCTATCAAGTTAACCTTATCTAAGTAGAATACTGTATAGTATTTGCCCTTTTGTGACTGGTTTAGTTCATTGAGTGAGATGTTTTCAAGGCTCATCCTTGTGGTAGCATGTTTCAGAACTTCTCTTTATGGCTAGTAATGTCTGTATATAAGAAACCTGGTGATGCCGTGGTTAAAAGTGCTCAGCTGCAATGGCAGTTTGAACTCACCAGCTGTTCCACAGGAGAAAGATGCAACAGTTAGTTTCCTTCAGGGTTTACAGCCTGGAACCCGAGGAGGCAGTGCTGTTCTGCCTTCACAGGGCTGCTGTCACAATTGACTTGGTGGCAGCGGGTTTGGTATCATATGCATTTTGTTTATTCAGTCACTTGTTTTTGAGGGACATTTGAGCCCTTTCCACCTTTTGCTCATTGTGAATAATGCTGCAGCGAAGACTGGTGTACCTGTGTCTGTTTGAATTCCTGCTTTTAGTTCTTTCGGGCAAAGAGGCTTTAAAACGTCAGTGGGAAAATTCCGTTCTCTCTTCATTCTGGTTTTTTTTTTTTTAATTCATTTTATTGGGGGCTCGTACAACTCTTATCACAATCCACACATCCATCCATTGTGTCAAGCACTTTCGTACATTTGTTTCCCTCATCATTCTCAAAACATTTGCCTTCTATTTGAGCCCTTGGTATTCGCTCATTTTCCTCCCCTCCCCCATGAACACTTGATAATTTATAAATTATTATTTTATCATATCTTAACTCTGTCCGATGTCTCCCTTCACCCACTTCTCCACTGTCCATATGTAGGTTATATGTAGATCCTTGTAATCTATTCCCCCTTTCTCCCTCACCTCCCTCCACCCTCCCGGTATCATCAGTCTCACCACTGGTCCTGAGGGGTTCATCTGTCCTGGATTTCCTGTGCCTCCAGTTCCTATCTGTACCAGTATACATCCTCCGGTTCAGCCGGATTTGTGAGGTAGAATTGGGATCTTGATAGTGGCGGGGAGGAAGCATTCAAGAACTAGGGGAAAATTGTTTTTCATCTTCATTCTGTTTTTCCAGGAACTTTTTTTTAGCCCCCTCACAAGTCTAAGAGTAGAATTGCTGGGTAATTAACACTTAATTTTGTAAACATTTTGAGTAACTGCTGTCCGATGGCCTCTAACAAGCTTTTGCACTGGTAGCCTGTAGTCACTTAGCTGACCACTGCCCCTTTCCCAAACCAGTCTTTCATTCTTTCAGCCTTTTCTCTACCCATCTACTCTTTGCCATATCACATTGCCTTTTACATTACCTCCTTGAGTGTGAATATGAATGTACGGAGGTTTGTTGCCTTACCCGTGGAGGTACAGAAATGTCTGCATAGCTGGGGCCATATCTCAGGGATTATATACTAGTGAGTGTAGGAGGTATGAATATAGAAAGTGACTCTAGTGTAATAATCTGCTTTTATAACCATCTTGGAAAAGCAGTAGTTAGTAGTGAGGCATTTCAGGAGAGTGAGTGTGCCAATGGAGTATGTGGACTGAAGCATTTGACTGATGTGAGTGAATGGCTTCAGGCAAGAAGTATTTACGGTGTCCATGGTAAAGATCGCAAAGCCCCGACAAAAAAAAACAAATCTTTTCAGTTCCAAGTGGCATTTCTGGGAACAAAAATGGTACTTTTAGGGTAGATTCTTTATATATACTTGTCATGGTCAATACATTTTAGAACATCACCTCTTTAGTGGCAGTGATTGTACTGGTCCCATCTGCTGCCACATTCCCAGCAATTAGAGCATTGCCTAGCACATACTGGGCTCTTAAGAATTTCCAACTGATTGGCTGGCTGGTTACTGGACAGTGTGAAAACAGGCTAGACCAGTGGTTCTCGACTTTCTTCCTCAATACTCAGGAGTCGTGCCTGGCTCCCACTGCTACTGTGATGACACTGCAGCAGCGAGTCACTGGCTGCAGGGAAGGAGGGCTAGTTCAGAATCTCTAGGGTACTTTGAAGTATTTCCAATCATGACGAGGCGGTCTCCTTTGGATGCCCCCAGGCTTGAGAATCAGCGTGACTTAGAGCATACCATCGTCTAGATGTATCTTTCCCTGTATTTTGGTTTCTTTCTCTGCATCAATAAAGTTGTCCCATGAGAACAGGACATAGAGAGGAACAGATGATGTCTTTTACAATTTTTTTGTTTTAGCAGTATCAGGTTGGTCTTCCCTCAGTTTGTTCTGTGAGCTTTGATTGGTGTTCCCTCGCGTAACCTACTGATGGTTTTAAATCTGAAATTATTCTCTGCTTTCTCTTACAGCCGGATGCGTAGTGATGGTTTTGATGAAGAAAGTCAGAGAGACTATTGGAGGCCAAGGCATGAAGTTTCGGGGACACTAGAAGATGATTTTCTTAAGGCTAAGTCCTGGAACAGGAAGTTATATGATTATGAAGCTAACATGCCAGACAGGTTTGTGACTAAATTTCTGTGACTTATAATGATAGTTGGCCTGAGAATATGCACTTTAAACAATTGGCCCACTCAAACCTGTATACAGATATTCACAGCTATTGCCATTTTTGCAATAACCAAAAATTAGAAACAATTCAAATATATGTCAGTTGAGGAGTAGCTAAATATAGTATATTCATGAGTGATTTTTCTCATTTCAAAAAAGGTGAAATGTTGATTGATGGCAAGCCTCATTTTGGATGTCGACTCATAGTGCATTTGGAGTTTATTCCACCAGGTCAGACTGTTAAGCTTTCTGTTTAGAGGTTCTGAAAAGATTGCGTTAACAGTGTGCATGCCACAAAAACCGCCTGATGTGGGCATCAAAGACCCAGAACAAAAATCTTATCATTGTGAATCAGGGGCAGTGTGGAGGTGGAGACCCAAAGCCCATCTGTAGACAATTAGACATCCCCTTACAGAAGGGTCTCGGGGAGGAGACGGGCCAGTCAGGGTGCAATGTAGCATCGATGAAACATATACCTTTCCTCTAGTTTTTTAATGCTCCCCCTCCCCCCCCACTATCGTGACCCCAATGTTACCTTACAAATCTGGCTAGACCAGAACATGTACACGGGTATAGTTAAGAGCTGAAAACACAGGGGGTCCAGGATAGATAACCCCCTCAGGACCAATAATGAGAGTATCGTTACCAGGAGAGTAAGGGAAACATGGGAGGAGAAAGGAGGAAATGATCACAATATCTACATATAACCCCCTCCCAAGGGGATGGATAACAGAAAAGTGGGTGAAGGTAGACATCAGTCAGTTTAAGACATGAAAAAATAATTTATAAGTTATCAAAGGTTCATGAGGGAAGGTCAGGGAGAGGGGGAAAAATGAGAAGCTGATACCACGGGCTCAAGTAGAAAGAAAAATGTTTTGAAAATGATGCAATAAATGTACAAATGTGCTTGGGAAAATTGATGGATGTATGGATTGTGATAAGAGTTGCATGAGTCCCCAATAAAATGACTTAAAAAAAACCCAAGACACCTGATATGTGGCAGACAGGACTGGTTTTGCCACACCACCATACCTGCTCACGCAGCCATCTCTGTGCCAGTTTTGGGCAAAAACAGCATGCCTCTCTTGCCCCATGCATCCTAGTTACCTGACCTCACTCCAAGACTTTGTTTCTGGGAATGCAGAGGGACATGAAAGGACAGTGATTTGATGAAATAGAAGAGGTGAGGCAAAAAACAAGGGAGGTGCTGTCAGCCAGCCAAACAGATGAGTTTGAAAAATGTTTCCAAGAATGGAGTCACAGATTTGACAAATGTATTAAGTGTAATGGAGAGTATTTTGAAGGTGATAAGGTTGTTTTGTAAAAAAATTTAAATATATAGCTTTGGGAAAAAAATTTTTTTTGGTATTCCCTTGTATACATACAGTAAGAGGGTGAATTTAATGGTATGTGAATTACATTAAACTGTTACTAAATAACCCCAGTAGAAGAGTTTTTATAGAAATCCTTCATAGCTAAAAAAGAATACCAACATACCTCAGTTTCTCAAGGAAGAGAATGGCAAGTTCCCTTACAGATGGACAAACGAATCCTTTGTTGTCTGAAATGGTTATATGTAGTACAGGAAATACAGCCACCTAGGCTACTGTGCTGTCATAAGGGCCTGGCTGTATATATGTACTCTTAGGTCTAATTTTATTTTAATTTCCAAAAAATGTATGCATTGCATTAATAATGTGTAATATGTTGCACATTACAGATGGGGTCACAGTGGTTATAAAGAGTTATACCCTGAAGAATTTGAAACAGACAGGTAAAAAACAGCATGACTGGGAGAAAAAGTTTAAAATTCAGATTAGTATAAATATATTATAAATTGAGTCCTGGGGGGGAGGGGGGAAATGAGGAGCTGATAACAAGGGCTCAAGTAGAAAGCAAATGTTTTGAGAATGATGAGGTCAATAAGTGTACAAATGTGCTTGGCACATGGATGTATGTATGGATTGTGATGAGTTGTACGAGCCCGATAAAATGATTTTAAAATAAGAGAGTCCTAAGTTTTACATATAAAATCATTTGCTATTAAAAATGTTAGGAAATGTGTAATTTTTGTTAGGAAAAAAATTGGCGTATTCTGCCTTTCCCTGGTATTTGGAAGGTTAGCATTTAGGTATATGAATTGTGTGTGTGCAGTAATCCATTCAATAATTTAATGTGGCAGACGAGTATTATTCATTTTAAAGATAAGAAACAAAAACTCAGTATTAAGAGTAGATAAAAAGGTCTGAGTAATACTTTAAAACTCTAAATGAAAATGTTAACTTCTGTCTAGGATGCAAAATGAAATTATACTTTTTCTTTTTTCTTTATTCCTTTTTTATTAGTAGTGATCACCGAGATATTACCAATGGACAACGAACGTCTCCACAGGTAAAATCAACTACCCATGAATCTCGCAAACATAAGAAGTCAAAGAAATCGCACAAGAAAAAGCAGAAAAAAAGGTCACACAAAAAACAGAAGAAAAGCAAAAAGGAAGCCACAGATGTCACAGTAGAGTCCTCAAGCGAGATCTCAGAGGAAACGGAAGTTTGCAGCACCAGGAAAAGGAAACAGTCACATAAGCGCAAGAAAAAATCCAGGAAAAAGTCTCTCAAAAAGCCGGACTTGTTGACGCAATCAGAAAGCGACATTTCTCGGTCTGCTGAGTCGGCACCCAGCAGTTCTGAGGACAGTCTGGAAAGAGACCCTAAAAAACCCAGGACAGAGAGAGAGAAAACAGGTCACGTTCCTGTGAGCAACAGCGAGGTGCCCGGAAGGACAAACAGACGCACAAACTGGAAAGTGGCCACGGACGAAAGGTCGGCTGACAGTTCAGAGGATGACTGAAGCAGACAGCCGCTTCCGCTTCCTGTGACAGCCTTTCCCTGCGGGCTTTGCCAGTGACTCGGTTAACCCAGGGCGCCGAGGGCAGAGGTATCTGGTGCCATCTGGGTACATTCAGACGGACCGCTTTTCTATTTTGGCCTGTTAAAACTTGATCCCCTTTTATTGTTCTTAGGGAATCTGTTATTTTTGTTATGAAGGTTTCTTGAAAAGATTATTTTTTTGCAGTTAATCATGTTTAGTTTAGAGGACATATACAGCACATTCAAACACCCAGGAAGGTGAATCCAGACATGGCCTGGGTACACCCCATGGGACTGCTAAAGTTGGGGAAGGCAAGGGCTGGATCGAGGTGGCCGAGTAAAATGGAAACATCCTTGTGCAAGGGCCTCCCCTTCTTTATAGCAAGGAAGCGAAAGCTGATGATTGTGTGTGTCCAGTTTGGTGCTTTGACTATTCTCTATGTTGCCCTTACAGATGTTCTCCAGTTTCATGAGGAAATGGGCCTATGAGCTAATCTTTTTCCTTCCTGACATCTTTAGGTAGCTGTCAGAAGGCGGCTCCTAGGGTTCCCTCAACCAAAAGTCCTCTACTATACAGGTTAACTGTAAATCCTACTATACCCCTAAATGTGGTAATTGTTTTATTCAGTGGAAGTATTCTGTTCCATTGCTGCCTAAACGGGCTTGTGTCTGAAACCATTTCAAGTTGTTTTAGATCTTCAACCAAATGGGGACACATTACAGATTAGCCATGCCAATAACGGTGCTCTGAATGGGACTTCAGGGTTGCAACTGCCATCTAACAGTTTTCCATGTTCATTTCTAGATCTAGTAATGAAGTTCAGATTTTTCTTGACACTAGGTGTAATCCATTGTGAAATAAAATTGGCTTCTCAGGGAGACACCGCCTCTTCCCACGCTGCCTTTAGATGAAAGCCCCAGGCAGAGACTACATTTCCAAGGTCATACCATGATCCCCAGCATGGTCATTTGTAAGGAACCAAGATACCATGGACAGAAGATGGAGAGAGCACAAGTGGACTTTTTCATTATGGGGAGAAAAGTTCGTTCTCTCCTGGCCTCACTTCCCATGTACAATACAGAAATAATGCACTTCTGGAAGCCTAACAGTGTACAACACCAGCAGTAGAATACAACCAACATTCCATGGGGTGGTCATATTCTGTAGTTCTCTTTACTGAACAGATTTCTAATAAAACACAAGTCTTAAAACAGGTTGGCTAGAGGTTTATGAGCAGATGCTAGAGCATATATATTTATCTTTGGCATTAGTGGGAGTTTAAGGGGATAGACCAATCTATAATTACTACCTCTTCACCTAGGGCAACTGCTATATTCTTGGGAGCAAGTGGGATCTCTTTAATTATGTATTTTTCGTGGTGCTTCTGTGCTGTAAAAAGTACTATTCTTATTGCAAGCACAGATTGAGGGTAGTGGAACAAAACATCTCCAGAAGCTTGGCTCCATCTGGGTCATAACCCTTTCTGCTCACCAACACCAGCAGGCCTGTCTCCTCAACTAATGACATTTTGCCTATTTTCACCATGTATGGGCAATAAAGCCATCTTGTTCCTCACCTAGCTCAATCCTCTGATAGTTCTAGCCCCTTAAGTACGGCCTACAACGGCTCTGCATCATCTAAGCTCTCTCATTTGTCCGACCAAGCTTAGGACAGTTATTCTAGTGCTTCTACTAGTCAGAGTTCTCTAACATTCCAATCCTAACATGGGATTTAAAACAGACTTGGAGAATTCACATTTATTAAATAACTGATGAGATACAATCTGGAGTTTGGGAATTTCAAATAAATTTTATGTTTTGAACATTTGATCTGTTACTTTTTAGCACCAAGAGGCTTGGCATCAGCTTGATCACCTGACAATAGATGTCCTCCTTACTCCATGGACACGTTAATAATAGCAAGTCCTTTGCTGCTTCTGTCATGTTCCTAAGAGATGGCCTACTGTCCTTTCTGTACAATCTGGGCAAACCGACTGGTGATGGCAAGGGTGGTATCAATGAAGCGGTCCACACAGCTAGAAAGACAATTTTCAGTGCGAGAGTCTAGGCGATTTCCTGGCTTCTCCACACACTTATCCCAACATAGCTCCATGAAGCGATGCACCTAAGAAGAAAGAGAAGCAGTGGTTGGGATCTGGAGATAAAGGCCTCACTTTCTTTTCCCACAGTCCTTTTCTTCTACTTGGCAAAAGCTATCCTTTCAAAGTGGAATCACTACGGGTTCTCATTTGTTAACTTGTTACCAACACGACCCAGATCCTTACCTCTAAATGGCAACAAAATCTTTTCTCTTTTTACCCCAGTGTTGGCTTAATGTACCAACCTTTAAGATTCCTGTTAGCTGCACAAGGCGTGCCATAATAGTGATTCAAAGATGTGCAGGCACTCACTGCAGATCCAATAGGCTCAACTTGAAGTTTTAAAAAAATTATTGGGGGCTTGTTCAACTCTTAGAACAATCCATACATCCACTGTGTCAGCACACTTGGTGCATTTGTTGCCATCCTCAAAACATTTGCTTTCTACTTGAGCCCTTGGTATCATCTATCAGCTCATTCCCGGCCCTCCCCTCACCCCCCATTCCCCGCTCTCATTAGCCCTGGATAATTTATAAATTATTTTTTCATATCTTACACTGTCCAGTGTCTCCACCCACTCTTCTGTTGTCCATCCCTGAGAGGAGGTTATATGTAGATCCTTGTAA